CTGGCCACCCCTTTCTTCCTATGACTTCCTGGTCCCATCATCCCCTTTCCCAACTCTGGAACTAGGAATGAAAACAGAAGTAGCCGTTTTCCAGGGCAGCCTGGTCTTCTCTGTACCTTGCCTCACTGGCCAAGTGACCCTGAAGTCTATTCCCCACTTCAGGGCGAGTTTACCTTTCTGAGGCTGACCCAACCCCACAGCGTTAGCATTGGGCTTCTGCACCCTATAATTCCCGGGCAAGACTCAGAACATTTGTTCATGGCAGCCCTACCAAACAGTAATCTGGGGGTATTCAGATCTCCACAGTGCAAGTTTGACATCCCAGGTGGTGAGCAAGGCTATTCACTGGGATCTGTGAGGAAAATTCCAGACCTTTTGGTTACATTGACTTAATTTAATATTTATTTATTTATTTAGTAGTATTAGGGATTGGACCCAAGGGTGTTCTACCTCTGAGCTACATCCCCAGACATCATCATCATCTTCATCATCAGAGACAGGTTCTCACTAAATTGCAATGTTGGCCTCTAGCTCTTGATCCTGGTTTAGCCTCCTGAGTAGCTGGGATTAGCAGTGTGTGCCAACCACTATGCCTGGCTTGATTATATTTGTATTTCTCTTGTTATTTTAAAATTGTGTTTTATAATGTACCCAATATATTAGTAGAATAGTACATATCCACAATTTACAAATAATGTACACCCATGAGAATACATGACACGAATTTGTAAGGATAGGTGTATAAACCACTGCTTGGCAGGGTGGTGTAGGAACCAGCCTACAAGCAGAGCTTGAACCTGACCAAGGGGTAATGAAGATGAAAAACAAAGAGATACAAAAACAAGTTAAAATCTGAGGGGCCAGGGGCTCAGTTCTCCCTTGTACATAGAGCCCCAAATGACTGACACATGTTGACTTTATTCCCTCAGACACAGGCGTGAGCAATTAGAGTTCCACAGGATTCACCTGTCTCCTATCCGCCATGGTACTGGGTAAACAACTTAACCTCAGGTGTTTTTACTTTTCCCTGCAGCGTTTTAGCACGCTTGTGTGCCCTCTTTTCCATGCTCACCAGTGAGGACAGTTAGGCCTCATTCCTCCCATCTGATGTCCACAGAGGGGAGTACTTTCTAGGAAATTCCTTGTGGAGGAATACCCAGAGCGCATCATGAATGGGCTGTGAATGTCAAGAGATACGACTTCCTGAGATGTCTAGTGAGTGGTGAAGGAAAGAGACCTTGAGGCAATAACAGCTGGCATTTACCATGTTTTCTTTGTGCCAGGCAATGGCTAAGCATGTCACATGTGCTCTCATTTAATCTTCATATCAGTCTCCTAAGGAAAGTTCTGTTATTATCCCCATTTTAGAGACATCACGCAGTTACACAACTTATCCTTCCATGATGGGACCTGGCATGGTGGCTCTAGAGCCTGTTGTGTCACTCCCATTGTACCCAACCTAGAAACAGGAAGGGCCTGGGCCTTGTCTGTGGAGAAATGAAGGAGAGAAGGAAGTGCTTCCTGATGAGATGGCAACAGTACAGGGTGCAGAGTGGGATAGCATCCCCACAGGAGAGGCACTGAAGCCTGAGGAAGGGAGCAGGAGGAGGACAGGAAGGGATCTGGGGTATCAGCCAGGAGGGTGAGGACAGGGCCGTTTGCCTGCTCCTCGCCTGCTGTTTTATGTCTTTTCTAGAAAGGCAGCTAAGGCTTTCTGGAACTTGAAAAGAGCCAGCCCTTCTTCAGGAGGTAGCAAACTTCCTATCACTGGAGGTGTGTAGGTAGAGGCTAAATGGTCCTGTGATGGAATTGTATAGAGGGAGAAAGGTATGGGATGCATCTGTGAGGCTTCTTCCCCTTCTAAAATGCTTAAACCCTTGGTTCTGAGTGGTAAGAAGAGAGGGTATGGGGTGAGTCCTGGGATGCTGTGGCCATGTCACTTGCCTGTACCAGCCCATCTCTGGGTCTGTCCAGGGCTGGTGCTTGTAGGGCTGCAGCCTTCTAGGGCTAAGCTTGACTTCGGCCTGCCAGAGTTGGCAGAGCTTTTCAGGGCAGGCCAAGCTGCCACGACCACGCCAGTAGAGTCTGCGTGACAATGCCGGTCACCTGGCAGAAACCAGACCAGAGGTATCGTCCCCACGGGGTTAAGCCTCCTGGAGGTCCTTGGCACACACCGCATGCAAAGTCAGCCGTGAAGAGAATAGCTGGCCTCTGCCTGCAGTTTGGGGACATTGGGTTCATCTATAATTCTGTTCTATTTTGTCTTTATTACTATTTGTTCATTATCTGTAGAATTGTATTCTGGGCCCAAGAAAGGTTAGGAACAATGAGATGTTCCTAGAGATGTGGAGATATTGAGGCACAAGAGGATGGGCGGCCAAAGTGCTGACCCTGAGCCCCGGACTGTGAAGTCCTGAAGGTGAACCTGAAGGTGACATGCTAAAGCCAGTCCTTTGTCTTACAAACTTCCCCCCTTCTGACTGCGTATAGGTGTGGTCTTACCTTGACTCAATGGTCTTAGCTTTTGTGATGGTATAGAGGTGTGGTCTTACCTTGACCTTGTGGTCTTAATTTTTACAGTACTATTGTCTATCTTATGCCTGCCTGTGACTGGAATCACTCTTGTGGTGTGCCCTTGAAACTAGTATATAAACACCTGGAGTTAGAAATAAAATTGCAGCAGCATTTGCAAGCTTCACCTCGGTGTTGAGTGCTTTTGTCTGACTGTCATCGCCGAACCTGCTCCCACCTTTCAGAGAACCTGTATCTCCTCGTGAAATCCCGTGTTTGCTGCCCTACGGTCGGTAGCACCAAGCATCTCACCACTGCCTAGCTCACCATTAGCATGCATGTTTGCTTGATTTTACCATAAAACCTTTTCATTCCCTCCTCACCTACAAGATCACAACTCTTATTGCAGATATTTAAATGACACATAGTTACAATGGTAAGACTCCCAATTGGCTTAACAACAGGTACTCAGGGGATCTGTAAACTTTGATAGGAAGGTAATTATGTCTTTTTTATTTTAACTCATATCTAGAATTTAACATTTTCTTTAATTGATTATATGCAACAAATCCAGAAGTATTGGAGTGACAGTAACTATGACCTTGTAACTAATACAAATCAATTATTTCCCCTTTATATTATAGCTATTGCAGATAATTAAAATATTGTTTATGTTCACTGGCACTTTTAAATTACAAAAGGGATTATATTTTCTGTATTAATAAAGAGTTCATCCATGGCAATTCCAGGTATATTTTGATATAATCATTCTCCTTTGTGTTTTGTTTTTATGCATTTAGAAACATTCTGAGATGGCATTCACAGAGTTCATCAAATACCAAAGACATCTATGACATAAATGGATAATTCACAGTTCCAATGCTAAGGATATACCAATTGCTTAATGTATCTTTTTTTTAAAAAAAAAGATTTGGAGTTCTTGTCATAAATATAGAACTAAAAGATCTTTAGAATGCCTTTATTGCAATGATTTCCAAACTTTTTGGCCATGACTCATGACAAGAAATAAATTTTCCTTTGTGATCCAATATGCATTAAAGTGAAACCATTTTTACAAAACATGATGTACCTTTATGATGCATGGTGCACTCTAACATTTTATTGTTTTTTATCATGTAGTCTATTTTCTTTTTTGAGGTAAATTTTATCCAAAACAACTTACTTCATTTGGAAATTAATAGTAACACATTTGATCCAAGCATGCAGAAGAGGAAAGCCTTAGTATTTGAGTAGCAAATGGAACTAAAAGGCATAAAATGATCAGTGTGTTTTTAGAGTAATCTGGAGGTGGAATACTTCCAGTTAATGTACAGATAATAAAAACTCATCTAAGCCTGAATCACACAAACTAAAACATACTTAATCATATAGTTGTACTTTTAGTAGCCAAAATTTCGCCATTCTTAAAGTGTGAGGCTTTCAAAATTACTTCTTTATACTAGAAAGCTAAAAGATGCCCCAAATATATTAGTTTGGGAGAGATCATACAATAACCATTCTGTTTCCAAACCCAGAGAAACCTCAAAACAGTGGGGTAGATTCACCAAAGCCAAGGTAGTTGGTTACGCAGGAAGGCAGCAGATCACTCATGTCACTGTTCAAAGCCAATGCTCTGGGGACTGAAGTCCTCTCCGTACCATGAGAACTGGGGTCCAGTGTTGCAGGGCAGTGTGTTCATTTGTCTTTTTTGGGTGCGTCTGACACTAGGGTCCCCTGGCACTGACGTCAGTGTACAGAATGAATGGCCCATATGAAGTGAGCTCCCTGGCCTCACTGTGTAACTGTACATCTTCTTTCTCCCGGGCAGGTGCCCGTGGTCACACTCACATGGTAAGGGAGGTCTACTCCTAGGAGTCGACAGGGAAGAATTCTGATAGTTCAGTCTGCTCACTATCACTCAAGTTTCTAAGACAATGACATTCAGAGTCTTCTCCCTGACCCTGGATGGAGTTTCCATGGACACAGTGTAGGGGACACTGAGCACCGGGAGATGGACCTGGGGGATCTGACAGATGAGTGCAAATGGCCTGAGTCCTCAGCAACCAGGACCATCACAGATCTCAAGGCGCTCCAGACAAACTGGATCCGGTGAAGAGAGAGGGAGAAAGGAGGAAGGGAGAAAGGGGAGTGGGTGGGATACTGGATGCCACCCTTCCATCTCACTGAATGCTCTGAAGACCTCCTAAAGTGACACTCGACACCCTGACAGGCCGTGGCTTGTGGTCAGAAAGACCTCAGAAGTCGAGAAGCTTCCAGCAAGCTGCGAGGGGGTAGATTCCAATAGTTACGGCCCCGGGTTTAAGAGAGAGGAGTTTAACCTCTCCCCGCCCCACCCCGTCTGCGCCGGCGTACACCCAACTCTGCGCCTGCGCTCCCAGGGCCTGGTTCCCGTGGGCAGCCAATCCTCTGAGGAGCGGGGCGTGGCTTCTCCCCGCCCCTCCTCCGCGTCGGCCCAGGGGTGGGTCATCTCTGTGCGCCGCTGTCGCGCCGGTTACGTCAGAAGAGCCGGCCGGGCTGAGCGCAGGTGAGTGGGTTTTCACAGAGGTTGGGGCTGGTGATCGCGGGGGTAGCTGATGGGCGGAACCAGAGGGTATCTGGGCTGGGGGATCAGAGGCTTACGCTGAGAGGTTTGTTCAGGAATGTGGGGTGTTAGAATGGGTCCCATCTCGGTGTACTTTGGGCACCCGCGGTCTGTGGTCTGGAGCCGGGAAGGCCAGGAGTTGCCTGATCTTGCATTTGATTTTTGCTCATTAAAAAATTATGAACTGTACATTAGCAAAAAGGCCATGGAGATATTTTTTCTTGACTTTTGTCCAAGATCTTTGCACCTTAATATTTCGAGTGTAAAGGGATGAATACATGACTGTAAAATACGAACAGAATAGGTCAGTGTCTTAGTTATTGAGAAATACAGTATTTGGATGCATGTTGTATGTGTCACCAAACTATTATAAACTGTTTTTGGAATTGAAAACTGTATAGTCAATGGTTGTAAAATTCTCAGTCTCATCAAACCTTTGCTTTGTTGTAAAAGCTAAAATAAACAGCATGCCAGACTCCAGGGCAGCCTGGAGGTGGGGCTGGCCTCTCTGCAGGGGAGTCCTTTCTAGAGAAGGAAGGACTATCTTACCGGAAGGTTCCCGTATTGCATCCCACTCTTAGCGAGCTCCCTGGCACTGAACACCAACAAGCAAAGACTTAGGCTCTTTTTGAGCACCTCGTAGTATCCCGGGTTAATGATATATTTGAGAACGTTAACAGAGGCAGGTGTGTGCTATTTATTGGGTACACACACAAATTGGAGGGAGCATCAGGTGACTTAGGGGGCGGTGGTAATCCTGTGTCGATGTGTATCTTCTGTTGATGAGGATCTTTGGTCGATGAGGATTTTATGTTGAAGGCTGTAAGGAGAGCGTTCTTACAATAATAGGTGGGATGAGTTAAGCTGAGGAGGTATTTGTCCCTCCCCAAGTGAAACCTTTCTCTTATTACTCAGCTGTCAACCAGGATGTCTTTAGTTGATGTAATCTTGCCCTTGAATATCACAGCATCACAGGACCATTGAAGTCTTAGCTGTGACCAGAGGCAAAAGTGGAGTTATGTTTCTCTATACTATAGCTGGCTTTCTGGCAAAGTGACATTGAGCCTTAGCTATAGTCATACTTTAATTATGAAATGATTTTTCTCCCAAATTATGTAGAATGGCTCCCAGTCTGATTCATAGTACATTCTCAAACCTTCACTCATTGATATGATCAAACCCAATCCTAGGGTGGCTGCCTCTTTGGAAGTTGGCTTCAAGAAGCCTTCTTACTTTCTTTGTTATTGTTTCTTTCTGTTGTCACATGTTCTTAATATATTTTGTACAAAGACCCCGTTAGCAGTCTTGAAAAGGCTGTACACCCTTTTGCGGGATTTTTAAGAAGGGAGGGCTGAGGATATAGCCCTGTGGTAAAGCACTTGCCTAGCATGTACTAGGCCCTGAGTTCAAACCCCAGGACCACAAAAAAAAAAAAAAAAAAAAAAAAAAAAAGAAGAAGAAGAAGAAGAAGGCTGGGGGGTGTTAACCAAATACAGAGTTCTCACTATTCATGGCAGTATGTTCTATAAAGTCTCCACAAACACTAGCAAGTAATGAAATATTGCTACTCAAGGGAACCCAGGGTTCTTATACTCTCTGGGCACAATATTTTTGTTAGTTAATCAATATATAATCATATTTTGTGGTTCTGCTTGAAGGCATCTTACCGAATAATATACATTAGTACTGTAATTCATTCCTGTTGAATTCATGCCTAATGAATTTTCTCCCTAAGACACATCACAACCTGCTTGCACTCTGGAACACGGGACAACACTGCAGCACTGTGCTCAGAGGTTGTCTTAGTATATGTGCTGCCGAAGCGAGCACTGCTCAGGGGTTATTTTAAACATGGAATCTCCATCAAGAAGGCACAGAAACGCAAAAAGCATGACACCAAACACTGCAAACAGAGCACTTGTTTACAGCGTAAGAGTGGAAACAGGCAGAGTGACAGTTGAGAACTGTGCATCACTCAAAGTTTTTACCACCTTGCACATGGTCTAAAGACTACAAAAGTTTTGCAAGTATTGTCTTTGACATTACAAATTAATTTTAGCAAGCAGAATCCACAAATACTAAGAGACTATATGTTAAAGCAATTTTATCAAAATACAGATTCTAGGGCCAGGGATTTAGCTCAGTGGTTCTGCAGCCTGCCTCATAAGCGCAAGGTCTGGAGTTTGATCCCCGGTACCAAAAAAAAAAAAAAAGCACGTAGGTCACACCATCACAAATTCAAAATCTACATGCTTTATTAACACATTACACAACAGGATGTAGCAGTAAGACTAATAACTACCATAATTTCAAATTGAGATGAACTTAACACCCCGATAAGAAACTATATGTAATTTCTATTCATAACAAAATATTATTTCTTACTGTGGTTTGTTGCCTAAATTCATAATGGAATAGAATGAATAGAATACTAAATTTCAGTCAAAGATTAAGGAACAAAAAGGGTGCAGTTATTCTTTTCACCTAGTTTTATCCACAGCTCAAGAGCCCACACAGCGAAGACATCCAAGTTCATGTTACTTTAAATCTGCAAACCCCAAAAGGCTAGCAAAAGTTTTCTGAGAATAACAGAAAAAACAAACAAATTATTTCTAAGTAATCCTTGCCAATGGAGATCTTAATCAAGTGGTCAGTGTTTTATTGTTTTGTGACCCAAGAACAGGGTCTTGCCAGAGTAGAGACAAGAAAGAGTTTGAGCCGATTCTGTTGAAACAAAGAGCACACAACCTCTGCTTGAGCACCAGCCCTCTGCATAGTGAAGCACAGGCATGTCCTCTTCCCTGACAATATGGGCTTCACATTTGACATACATATTGTATATACAAGTATACAATGTGTATTCAGTAAGGTGCTTTGAAACAGAACCACGTGATTATATATTGATCAGTTTGCCAGGCATGGTGGCACACAGCTGCAATCCCATCACTTGAGAGGTAAAGGCAGGAGGATCGCTGCAAGTTGGAGACCAGCCTAGGTTATATAATGAGTTCAAGGCTAGTCTGAACTACATAGTCTGTTGTAAAAACCATAAAATAGATCAATAGGTCAATCGATCAGTTGACAGAAATATTGTGCCCAGAGAGTAACCCTGGGTTTCCTTGAGGAGCAGTGCTTCATTATTTGCTGATTTAGTGTTTGTGGAGACTTTGTAGAACATACTGCCATGAGTAGTGAGGGAACTTGCTGTATTTGGTTACCTTCCTTCTTGTGTTGTGTGTATGTGTGTGTGTGGTCCTGGGGTTTGAACCCAGGGCCTAGTACATGCTAGGCAAGTGCTGTACCACTAAGCTATGTCCCCAGCCCTCCCTTCTTAAAAACATCCAGCAAAAGAGTGTACAGCCTTTTCCAGGCTCCTAGAGAGGTCTTTGCACAAAATATATTAAGAACATAGCCAAGTGTATTGAGCCTAGTCTTGGCAATGTAGTAAAACCACATCTCAAAATTAAAAAATGAGGTGGAGTGAGGATGCAGCTTGGTGCAAAGGCCTGGGTTCAACCCAGTACCCATAACACACACACACACACACACACACAGAACCCTTAGTATAGCCTGTGAAATTAAATCTATCTATCTATCTATCTATCTATCTATCTATTTATTTATTCTCATTGAGTGTATCAGTACTTTTTAAGTATACAGTACAGTTACATTTATCATTGGGATCTATTATCCTTACATGACAGATCTTGGTTCTCATTTTTTTTTCCCCTATACCCCTGCCCTCTAAATCTATTTATTCTTGATGTAAGTTAGGTTTATGTTTAAGCTAGGTCCTTGAAGACTTTAATATGTTTTGGGGGTCTTATCTCCCTCTAACCTCTTACGTGTAAGCTCTCAAAGCATTTTTAGTTGGGACTGCTGCTTGGACTATAAGAACTTTGGTATTTTTGGACTCCCTCAAGTTTTCTTGCTAAGTGGAATATCTAAAATCTGGTTTTGTCTCTAAAGAGCAGCAAGGGACAGACACTGGCAAGAGTTGGGGAGAAGAATCCACCTGATGGGGGCAGTGTTGAGTCCCTGGGAGCAAGAAGACCCCACCGCTTGGCAGGTCCTGTGAAGGGATCCCAGGGACTGGCAGAAAGGTGTCAGAACAACTCCTTAGCAAAGGCTCACCTTGGAAAGAGGACCTTCTGTAGTCCCCTCTGCCCTGATGACACCGTACTGAAACTCTGGTGTTGTTTCCACAGAGCTGTCTAGCCTTTAGCCCTTCGTTTTGGTTGAGGACATGACCAACCAGGTAAGACGTGTGTTGAGGGGAAGTTGGTTGAGAGTCAGTTAGTCTCCTTGACAAGTTCATCCCCAGTAAGTTGTCTGGGTATGTAGTCAGGAAGCTAGCATTGAATTCTTGCCCTTTTTCTACAGAGCTGGGTGGCCCTGGGTACCTAGTCATCATGGGGTTTGGTGGCATGGATAAAATTCAGACTAACAGTAGGATTTGTTTATTTAGACTTCACTACAGTATAGAGAGGGACTGACAAAATTTAAAAGAATTTGTACACAAAAACAAAGACCAGGCACAGAAGAAACAGTTTTAAAATAAAAGTAGGGACAAAAGTAACAAGTTTTGCAGGCTGTGCTTACTTGTACAACTACAGAAATTAAGCTGCAAACTATACTCCTGAGTGATCAGAGCTGAAAAGGAAAGCATTTCTTGGTCTCCTGTGGTGTAGTGGGTAGTAGTGGAGGGGGGAACATTGGTGTGTTTCAGAATTAATATTTTCTGATGTGATTGTACAAGTCTGACTTGAGCAGGAATGAGAGCTTTCAGGGTGTTCAGGCAGCAGTGGAGGGAGTGGCTAGCACTGCAAAGACTGCAGTCCCCTCGGGGAACTCTGGGATGGGTGTGGGCTGGCTAAGTGCTGGCTTACTGTGGCTTCTGTTCTTTTTCAGTACAGTATTCTCTTCAAACAAGAGCAAGGTAAGGAGCCTGCCTGTTCAAGCAAATCCATGCTTCTGTATAAAAAGCTGCTTGCTCTCTGGTTTCTTTGAAATGTTGTCACGCCAACCTGGCATGCAGGTCCCAGGTGCTCTCACTCTGCAGAACAGTTGGCAGAGACAGCTGAGAGCTCACACACTTAGAAAGAAACAAAAAACTGGGTAGTCAAGTAAAAGGATAAATCAGGAGTCAAGTGACAAATGAGAGCTCTAGGCTGAGGAGCTGTAACTGAGCTTCCCAGGTGCCGGGAGGGTGGGGAAAGCTTTGTGCTTCTGGGTTGTGTTAATGTGGGCTCAGCCAGACAGATGGACTCACACGTGGTCCTGAGCTCGGTGTCCTTACCTCTCAGTACAGTTGAGGTGAGTTTCTTTCAAGGCCCCTGAGTGTGTGGGGAGGGGTGGGGCTGTATGGCAGTGTCCATGGTGGGCCTGGGAGCAGAGGGGAGCTTGGAGTCCAGTGTGAGGCGGTGACTGCAGGGACACAGATCTTACACCTGCAGGGAGGAGCATTTGTGCAGGGGTTGGTCACTCAGGTCTCATTTCTTCACAGCCTTGGTGTATTTGGGAAGTCTGGGGAATTTGTAGGATGCCTAACCAAGCTCTTTCACTCTAAATGGGTGATAATTTATTTAGTCTGAAGTTTAAGCCAAAGCATTCTTAGCTAACTAGTATAGTTGAGCAGTACAGCATCTACCATCTCCTTTATATGAGGCTAATGCTATCAGCCTGTATCAGGTGAGATCATAAAGGAAGCCACAATTCTGTGTGTGTCACAGCTGTGAAGTTCAGTGTTCTTGTATTCATGTCTTGAAATAATGGCCCTGGCATGGTCATGCTTCTTTGTGCACTTGTCACATTTATATACCCACATGGGTCTGCAGAACAACTATGTGGCCTACCAAATATGCAGCTTGCAGGCCTGGATTTGAGGTGGACTTCACCTAACAGATTAGGTTGAATCCTAGCTCTGCCCCTTGTAAGCTTTGTGACTTTGGGTGAGCTCCTAGGCTTCTGTAAGCCTCTTAATTCCTCGTCTATAAAGTGAGCATGGGCTTACTAGTACCTGTTTCATAGGACTGTTGTGATTGAGGCAGCACTCATAAGAAGACTAACATAATTATGTGGCTTATTAAGCATAATAAAAACATTTGTAGTAAAAGACAACTCATGTTTTTTAGACCTGTACTGTTGACAGTTGAACTGCCTGCTGGTTTCCAAAGACCTCCAAGATTCATCTCATATTGAGTTTAAGTCTTTCTTGTAGGAGCAGGTAACCGCAGTTTTTCCTTTGTTAGCCAATGGATAGCTATTCCTTACTGCCGAATGCTGGGCAGCATGCTGGTAGAAAGGATGTTAGGCTTGGAGCTGGCTCTTTCTGGTTCTACAACTCTACCTAGTTAAAGTGTTTTAGGGCAGGTGGCTTCTTCAGAACCTCTGTTCCGCATATGTGCCCCACGATTGTAATAAAAGGGAAAATGCCTGTGAAGCTTATAAGCAGATAGCCAGAAGTGGATGTTACTTCAGAATTGTTGAACAGTATTTCAGCTTTTTATCACACTAAATGTAGAAGTTGCATGCCCAGGAACTTTTTAAATGAAATACTTTCCCTTCTAGCCCATGATGATGCTATTTGGTCAGTTGCCTGGGGGACAAACAAGAAAGAAAACTCTGAAACAGTGGTCACAGGATCCCTGGACGACCTAGTGAAGGTCTGGAAATGGTGAGCACCCCTCTAACACAGAGCTTGGAAAATTGGGCTCCTTTGGTTACAATCAGGGAAGTATTAATGTTTTTCTAAAAGAGAAAGCAATGGCTGTATGGTAATGTAAAATAGTGGCTTATGTTTGCTCTCTTCTTGTTATTTGGTATTAAAGCCCAGTTTCTTACTTATTTATTTGTTTATCAAAACAACAACAGGGTTAAAACCTGGTCTTTAGTTCTCTGATTCTGCATTTCGAGACCATGGTAATACACAGTCACAAAAACCCAGGAGTTCAGGCCTGGGTCACTGTCTTATATATGAAGCGATTCATTTCTCTGTCCCCCATGCAGGTGTGATGAGAGGCTGGACCTGCAGTGGAGCCTGGAGGGACACCAGCTGGGGGTGGTATCTGTGGACATCAGCCACACCCTGCCCATTGCTGCTTCTAGCTCTCTGGATGCCCACATTCGTCTCTGGGACTTGGAAAATGGCAAACAAATAAAGTCTATAGATGCAGGACCTGGTAAGAGTTTTCTATCATAGAGGTTCACAGTCCCTTCAAATCCCTTAGAAATATGTTTATTGTTCAGAATTTTTTCAGACTTGAGAGAGCTGATATGGGTGTAAGAACTTTGCATACATGCTTTCAGTGTAGTCAAACACTAATACTGCAGCTAAATGTGAGCAGTTGTACTAAGGTAAATAAAGGCTAGCTGTACCCTTACATTAATTCTGGTCTGCTTTTGCTGCCAGATTAATTTTGGTTCTAAGCTTAAGAAAAAACTAATAGTTTTCCCAGTACTCTGGGAGCCTGAGGCAGGCTGTACCCCTGTATGCCTTCATATACAGCCTGGATAACTTAATGAGACCCTGTCTCAAAATTTAAAAATAATAATAAAGGCCTGGGAACCTACAGTTCAATGTGAAGGCCTAGGGTTCAATCCCCTGTAGTGCCAAAAACCAAAAATAAAAACACATAATAGTTTTCAGAACTTAGTGGATTTCAGAATTGCCAGTGTAGGGTTGTATACCTGTGTTTGGGTGGTCCAGTGGTTCTCTATTCACTGAATTCTCATTTGATTCATTCACTGCCTTGAGGAAGCTCAGCACATAGAGCATGTGTCTTCATAGAGCTGTGCAGTGGTGATCTTCACTAATTGCTATTTAAGTGCCTGGTTTCTAGCATGTGAGAGAGATGAAACTTCTAAAACAAATTCATTAATTTTTTTTAAAGTACTGTAGGATATTGTTATCTTTTTTTATCAGTGCGTAATGATTATGTTCATCTTGGGGAGTTGGTACATGGCTATAATACAGCTTAATCCTTTTTTATATCCCCTTCCTCTCCCATCTCTTTGGTCCTCTTCCCATTTCCAAATCTTCCCTGTGTGTGCTCTTGTCCTTCTGCCTTAAAGCATCTTCCAAGGTGATGGTAATAAACACTTGCAGTAGGCTGGGTTAACGGGGAGCAAGCAGCACAGCACTCAGGACCCCTTTAGCCTGGTGCTCCCCAGCAGAGCTGGTTCTGCCCCAAGGGTGATGACACTGAGTGCCCTTCATGGGTGGATCGGAAGGGCTGCTTGGGTAGTATAGTGACCCAGTGGATTTGCCTCCACCAGTTATACTCAGTCACCACTGCGTGTTGGTTTTTTTGGGTATTTGTGTACTTGAGACTGACCTGGACTCATTATGTAGCCCAGTCTGGTCTCAAACTCACAGTTATCCTTCTGCCTCAGTCTCCCCAGTGCTGGGATTACAGGTGTGCACCAGCCCCCGGCCAGCTTACCACTGCGTGTTGGAAAGAACGCTGTTCCTGGTTTTGCAAGGAGGGTGGGAGTCTGAAAACGATGTAGGTGCCCTTGGAAGCATCAGTCCTTGTTGCTGCTTCTCACTGCTGGAGCTTTGCCCAGGTGCTATTTTGGTCCCACTGAATCACAGTTCTTAGAGTGTGTGAGCTGGGATATGAGTTTGGAAAAGGTTACCGTTACACTCTGGCTTGCAAGATGGCCATCTTGCAATTTTTTTCCCTCCTTTAGTTTATTGGTACATTTTAGGTATACAGTATAGTTAAATTCATCATTGGGATCTTGTACCTTTACATGACAGGTCTTAGTTCTCATTTTTTCCCCTTACCCCTTCACCCCCTCCTCCCTTCCCTATTTACAAATACTTTATTTCCATTTTTTCATTTTCTCATGTTTTTTTTTCTTTTCCCTTATTACATGTCCCCTACCCTTCTCACTTCCCCTATTCCTTTAGCCCTTTTCTTCCTATTTCACATTGTCAGTTATATCTTTAGGATCTTATGTACCATTATAGTTTTTCACACCAGAGAAACTATTCGGTATTTATACATGTGTGACTTATTCATTTCACTTAGGAGTATATGCTCAATATGTATCCATTTTCCTATGAATGACTCTAATTTCTCATTCTTTATGGCTGAGTAGTATTCCATTTTATAGAAAAACCATATCTTCTTTATCCAGTCTCCAACTGATGGGCAGATGGGCTGTTTCCAAGTTTTAGCTATTACATACTATGCTGCTATAAATATAGGTGTGTGTTGCTGCTGTTTCTTTTTGGGTTCCTGTGCCCTCCCAGGAACTGACACTGGTCATTGCCTGGTTTGTGGCCCTGCACTCATCACATCTGAGGAAATGAGTGTTTCATTGTTTCCAGGCAAAGGATGGTATGTGTGTACTACTGGCTGGCTGTGACAGATGATGCCTATATTCTCCAGGGGGCAAGAGTGTCAAGGAAGAAGATCTTAGAAAGAATAGAGAGGTTGGAATCTGCACAAAACTAGGCCCAAGTTATTTGTTTGAGTAACAAAAGCAGCTATTGCTATTGACAGGCAAAAAGCAGCTGCATTCATCAGAAGATTCAGCCCCTTGATGAGGCTAGGTCCTCCAAGGAATAGAGGGAAAACAGACTCTTAGTTGTACCTAGCTTGAAAATATGAGCCACCACAGAAGGAACAGAAAAATAGCAGACAAAATCCCTGTCCTGAAGATGAAAGGAAGTAGATGAAAGCCAAGCTGCGAGGACAGCTCTTCCCCCAGCTGTGGCTTCTAGTAGCTAACACCTAGAAGGCTGACACTTCTGGTAGCTGACAGGAAGATAAAGACCTCAGAGACCCTCAGCATCAGGTGCCCAGAATGCCCACCTTCAGGGTGGAGGTGGAACTTAAGGATGGAAGTGAACATTCATATTGCAAATGTGAAATCTTAGAGTGCAGGGTTGAGTGAGGGATTAAAAATTATACCTATGAGGGCTGGGGATTTAGCTCAGTGGTTCTGCCGCCTGCCCCTCAAGTGCAAGGTCCCGAGTTCGATCCCCGGTACCCCCCCAAAAAAAAATTGTACCTCTGGTTTTGAACATAAGGCTATTTAGTAGTAAAAGATATTCATTGCAAATTAATAGGGAAATATAAAAATAATTTAGAAGAAACATCTTACTAAGCTTTGAGGACTAGAAAGTAGGTTTTCTGCTAACCATTATTTCTGTAAACGACTCATTGCCATGAAATAAGATATAACCCTAAGGGCCGGGGATTTAGTTCAGCGGTTTGGTGGCCTGCCTTGCAAGCGCAAGGACCCGAGTTCAATCCCCGGTACCAAAAAAAAAAACAAAAAACAAAAGATGTAACCCTAAACAGTCCTGACTGTCCTTCTACAGGGGTAGACAAAGGCTCATTAACAGGTATCTCACAGGCCTTTTCCAGGAACTGGGAAATTTCCCTGCCCTGTAGGTATGGGCAGGGGAAGAAAACATCATCCTGTCAGAATAGCAAAGATATGTCTAAAGCACCTGAGAGATTGATTATAATGAAACTTTTTAAGGTCTTGTTGGTTAATTGAGCACTTTTGAAGTAAATTTTGTTTTAAAAACAAAATTTCATAAGTAAAGTGATTAAGTTAAAGGATATATTGTTGCTTTGGATGTATGTGTGTAAAAATTCCAAGAGACTTGTATATTAAAAACACCCCCGGGGCCGGGGATTTAGCCTAGGGTTCTGCCACCTGCCTTGCAAGCACAAGGTCCCAAGTTTGATCTCTAGCACCAAAAAAACAAACAAACAAACAAACAAAACACCCCCAGAATTCCTAGACAAGGGACAGGAGGGGGCAAGACATGGGAGTGGGTGTCCCATGTAAGACTGGGCTTGGAGAAGTGGTCCAGGTGGCAGTGGGGGGTGGCATTGTTCTTGTGCCCACCCCCCGAGCACTTAAGGGTGGCCTCTGTGAGGCGTGGGTCCCTCATACCCCATGCCCTCCATGCTCCAGTTGGAGGTAGGTGCTCCCCAGACCCTAACATGTGGCTGAAGAGTGTCAGAGATTGAACTCTTGTTGACAGGTAACTGAGGTATATGATGTGACTTCAGAACTAATGGATTCTTGCTCTATTGATTTGTGGTAACTACTTTGCCACATAACAACTACTTTGTAGTTTTATGTAAGATTATTTTGGGCACCTCTTCATTTATAGCTTTACCAAAATCTCACATCTCTAATTGCACCATGAAATTTGGCATCTGAAGTATGTGGTTTGTTCACCAAGCAGGTTTCTGAGGGTGCGCACCATCAAGCCAGTGTGCTGTGGGACCCTCTGTGCCCACACAGTCAGTCCCTGTGCTCTGCTCGCCATAGGCAGTGGCAAGCTGCTTGCTTTCTGTATCATTTTGCCTTTCTGAAGGAAATGCACATAAATGGAATCAATCATATTGTCATTGTTTCCTTAGTATGTTTTTGAGATTCACCCATGTTGTGGCATACATTTATTCTTTCATTGTCAAGAAGCGTCCTGTTGTGAGCAGGTGCCACATTTTGTTTATCCATTCGCCACTTGGCAGGCATGTGAACACAGCTTCTCTGAGCATGGGTGCATGTGTCTCTGTGTGGATATGTTTCATTTTTCTTGAGTGTTTCATTTCTCTTAGCTACCTGGGAGTGGAATTTCTGGATACTGGGGTAAACGTTTGCTTTCAGCCTGGTTTTCACAGTAACTGTCCCACTTTACATTCCCACCAATGTATGGGTGCCCTGGTCTCTCCACAGCCTTGCTAGCACTTGGTATTGTCCTGTTTTTATTAACAGTTAAAGAAAGTGTTAAACTAAATGTGGTAAAGAAGCAATGTTTTTACAACATAATTCTCAGAAACAGTGAAGGAGAATACTTTAAGGTGGTATTGAGCAGGCTTTGATTATATTCAATAGGCTTAATACCATTGGCCTGTACTTGTAATTTGGAGCTGGTCTGAGGGTTAAGTGCACAGCTTAATGGCGGCAGCTGGCATGCAGAAAGAGAACTCTACGTTCCACTGGCCAGGCTGGGGCCAAGACTAACTAACCCAGGTCATGGACACTGTGGCTCCTGTACTAGCTGATAGCACCTGCAGCTGAAGACCCCATGATTCTTGCTCATCCTCTATAAAAAGTTAATATTAATCTAAGGGAAAGAACAAGTTCCCATTAACCTAAGATTCACTTCTTGCAAGAATGCTTTGTTCTGTTCTTGCTAGGCCTCTCTCACATCAGCACTTCTGGTCATCGCCCCACCTACCTGACTGTACGCTCCCCCTGCTGCTTTGTGCTCAGTAAAATACTGGCAAGTCTGGAAGTTCATGATCTTTGCTCACTAGAAGCTCTGAATATAATCAGAGTCTGCTTGACAACATTTTTTTTTCCTGGTACGGAGAATCAAACCCAGGGACTTGCACTTGTTATGCAGGTGTGATGCTACTGAGCTAAATCCCTACTCTCTGCTCAACATCATTTTAAGGTGGCCTCCTTCAAACAGGATGGTTTCCTTAATTTTATTTATTTTTTTTCCATTAAGTTTATTGCTACATTTAAGGCAAGCAATCCAATTACATTCATCATTGGGATCTTGTACCTTTACATGATATATCTTGGGGTTTCCTTCATTTTAAAACTTGTATCGTTTGGTTAAACTTCAGGTTTTAAAACTAGGATCACCTTTTTTCACTGTATTTTTCCCCTTTTTTCCTTCCAGTGGATGCCTGGACTTTGGCCTTTTCACCGGATTCCCAGTATCTGGCCACAGGAACTCATGTGGGAAAAGTGAACATTTTTGGTGTAGAAAGTGGAAAAAAAGAATATTCTCTGGACACAAGAGGAAAGTTTATCCTCAGTATTGCCTATGTAAGGAAACAGCATTCATTCTCTTGTCTTTCTGATTCCTCACGTTTACTCTTGCAGCGTGTCATCGTCTGTGCCTTGGTCTTGGTGGTGTGGGGCCGCCAGCCAGTTAGACCTGGAGCACGAGGAGGCTGAGTTGTGTTCAGCAGGGATAGAGTAACAACACCGCGAGTCCCAGAGGACTCATCTTCTGTTCTCTCAACAGAGTCCTGACGGGAAGTACCTGGCCAGCGGAGCCATAGATGGAATCATCAATATTTTTGATATTGCAACAGGGAAACTTCTGCATACGCTGGAAGGTATAATTCCTGGTTTTGTGCAAGCTGGGCTATCAGATTGCAGACGAAGTTATTCTTTCTTAATATGCTGTTAATGGGCCGGGGATTTAGCTCAGTGGTTCTCCTGCCAGCCTTGAAAATCGCAAGGCCCCGAGTTGGATCCCCAGTGCCCAAAAGAAAAAAAAATGCTGTCAAATGACAGATAAACATTAGATTAGCAAAATCTTTTAATCTTGTTTGTAGCTGCCAGCCTTGAAAATCGCAAGGCCCCGAGTTTGATCCCCAGTGCCCAAAAGAAAAAAAAAATGCTGTCAAATGACAGATAAACATTAGATTAGCAAAATCTTTTAATCTTGTTTGTAAAACTGAAAGGGCTCCAAGTTTTAGGCTTGTCACTTGTTTTACCTATATATTAGTTCTTGTGACAGAGTTAGTTGCTTCTTTTGGTGAATTAACTTGCTTTTTATTTATGTGTTAATGTACCTTAGCTAAGTGTGTGTCTCATTTGTTATTTTGGTTCTGAAGAACTTTTGGCTGGGAGACAGCTCTTCTTTGCTGATAATTTGGTAACATACATTGGTGGCCCTGGGAAGCAGGACTGGGTAGCCAAAGAGCCAGGTGGGTGGGAAAGTGACTTTATTACACATTCTTTTGTGTTACTTCGAATTCTAGCCAAGTGAACATAATAACTCCTCAATGTATTGTTTCTGTACAGCAAAGGATGTGATAAGGAAATAGGATGATATTTGTCCAGCCTTACACTGCTTACTTATTTCCATATTTGGTCGTATCTGTAGCAGAGGAGATTTTAACAATAGTGTTAGGTTGAGGTCCAGCTCCCAGGGAGAGAGGCCAAGGGGAAATGCGTGAGGAGAACAGGTTGGGTTTAGGTGGATGCATCTAGAACACGAGGAATGAGAGTAACGCAGTAACTTCCTTTTCTCTTAAGTACTAAGGATTGAGCCCAGGACCTTTACACTGAGCCAGACCCTCAGCCTCTTTTTATTGTTTCATTTCACTGAGTTGCCCAGGGTGGGCTGGGATTTTCAGTCCTCCTGCCTCAGCCTCCCAGAATACTGGGACTACAGGTGTGCACCACTCCACCCAGCTAATGTGTTTCTTTCGTGAGTGAAGCGGCAGGGCAGTTCCCACTCAGTGATGCATGGTCCTCCCAAGGGACGTAGCAGTAGGTAGTCATATGAAGCAGCAGTGGTTTTCCAGGATTAACAGGGCCTTCGTGAATTCCAGGCCATGCCATGCCCATCCGCTCCTTGACCTTTTCCCCGGACTCTCAGCTCCTCGTCACTGCATCAGATGATGGCTACATCAAGATCTACGATGTGTGAGTAGAAGGCGTTGCACTTTAACACCAACGGTTGCCCTGTCCCCTTGTTACTAGGAGTCCTAATAATGAGGGGTTTGCTGCACCCTCCTGCCCTCCCAGTAAGGACCTGTGTTTGGATTCTGCCAGTCACCTCAGTCCCCCCAGTCATCCCCCACCCGGTGCCCTTGCCTTTGAGTCCTCGGGGCTATGGAGAGGGATGTGCAAGTTAACATCCTCACTGCCTGTACGCTGACCCCTTGCAGACAACATGCCAACCTGGCCGGCACGCTGAGTGGCCATGCCTCCTGGGTGCTGAACGTTGCCTTCTGTCCTGATGACACTCACTTCGTCTCTAGGTACTTGGGTTTACTTGTGGTTTCTAAAACACTTGGAAGATGAAGATGTCTTCTGGAATGAGCTGCCTTAAAATTTGAAGACTGACTTCTTTAAATTTTAAGTTGCCTTCATTTTCTGCAGTTCTTAGTTTTTATTTATGTAAATAATGAAGTTAGCTAGCCTTAGCCGGAACAAAGATGAAATCTTTTAAACAGTTAAACTCAGGTTTTTCTTGTAAATCTAGGCTTCTACCTACAGCTATTCAGAGGTATGCCTGTTTCAACAGTAGCTTAAAATATGTGATTGTGAGCTGAGTGTGGTCACGCACACCAGTGATCCCAGTACTTTGGAAGGCAGAGGCAGAGGGATCACAAGTTCAGCTCAGCCTGGGGAACGTAGACACTTAAAGATACCCTCTCTCAAAATAAAAGTAATAAAAAGTGTTTAGAATGGAGCTCAAAGGGTTCAATCCTCAATTCAAAAAAAAACTTGTGTTTATCCACCCAAGTGTGTTCAGGCCTATATTGACCAGTATGGCTGGACCCATGGGGTGGACAGCACAAGAGTTCTGCCTGGTGGTCCACGAGATCCCCAGAGCCTTTGTTTGAAGCTTCCCTGGGCCTCCTTGGCATCCGGACTGTTAAATAGGCTGGGGCCTCCTAATAACAGCACCTAGAGGTGCAGTCTCGGGAGGGTGGCTGTCCTGAGAGGGCCACTGAGCTTCTGGCCCTGCCCTGTCCTGCATTGGCCAAGGGGCTTCTGATGGTGGAGTCGTGTGGGAGTTTTGGGTCATACTCAGTTTCAAACCTGTCTGGAAACATTTTGTGATACTAATTGATGTTCATTGTTTGACACAGTTCATCTGACAAAAGTGTAAAAGTGTGGGACGTTGGAACAAGGACTTGTGTTCACACCTTCTTTGATCACCAGGATCAGGTATGGAATAAATTTCAATGTCTTTTCTCTAGGTTGCAGCATTCTGTGCTAGAACAGTTTTATTTTCCTCCCCTCTCAGGGAGAGTGGTAGACCCCTGGATTGGGACTGCTGCTGTTAATGTCCATCTAGCAGAGGCGGGGACCTGCTGTCACCTAGTGGAGGTGCCCCTGCCTGTGTGACAGCGTGCGACAAGCACAGCCTCTTTGCCGGGGGCTCTCTGGGCCCGTCCAAGCCAGGACCAGCTTGGCAAGGACCCTCCTGGTCAGCAGCTGCCTTTACTCATAGTCACTATTTGCCATTTTTAGAACTGTCCAAAAAAGAAATGAGATTGTTCTTTAATATAGTAGAAGGAAATTCTTACAGGTTGTTTGGATTTGATTTCCATCTTTGAAAGGAGCCTCTGTCTGTACTTTTGCCGAGGTGTGAAGTGTTTCTGGTGTTCTTGTGTGGTACATATTGGTCTTAATGTGCATGTGGATCCCCTGGGGTCCCCTAAGTAAACTGCAGGTCAGACCCAGCAGGTCTCCTGTAGATCTGGTATTGCATCTGTCACATGCCCCAAGAGGACAGCACACTGCTAACCCGCCACTGTGAAGATCAGGGTCTAGGAACTCGTCAGCATACAAACAAACAAGCATAAATGTGGCTTTGGACATGCTCTGAATGTTTCCAGATGTTAATAGATTTCTTTTGGAATGCAGTTTGGAGTGGTTACCTAACTGCGCATGCTGATTCACTCTTACATTGTGACCCATAGAGTCCCGGGGGGTTGGTCTTGATATTGACAGTCTACTGCTGGACTCAGGGAATAAGTACTGGTGCTTTGTGGCCTTGTATGGGGGTCCGAGTGCTGCTGTTGCAGAGGAAGAGATTTGAAGAGGGAGTAAGCCCGTCATGTGGCCCAGTCATCATCCTGAAGTCCATCTCACAGCCAGAGTGACAACCTGATGCCCTAGATCTGCTTCAAATCAGAAAGACGGCCCTGAAGATCGGAACTTGGCACATCAGCTCTGCCTGGGAAGGAAGTGTGAAGCTGTTCATTCAGTGCATGGCACATAAAATCAGTGGTATCCATGGTGCCTGGCCCCCAGGCTTCTAATAACAAGTGGAAGATCGTGACCAGGGCATTGTGGATGGGGTAGGATGAGCAGCGGCAGTTTTCTTCTAGGCAGTGACCTTGGGCTTGTGGGTCTCCTTCTGGCACCATAAATGCTGGTCCTTTGTGGATTCCATGGTGATCCTCTGGATTCTGAGTCTTCGTAAGGGTTGTAGGTTATCCTGGTTAGTGTAGAAATAAAAATGTGCTGGAGGCGGGGGTAATAATAACAACAAAAGGAAGGTGCCTGGTTAAAGAGAAGCCACCATCTTCTCTGATATAGGAAGTGTAAGAATGCCCTCAACTCAAGTATTTTCCTGAATTCAGAATAATGAGCAGTAAATGAAGATGTTCATTTTGTAAACAGTGTTCAGAAAGAAAACATTAATAGAACTTTTAAAATTTACAGGTCTGGGGAGTAAAATACAATGGAAATGGCTCAAAAATTGTGTCTGTTGGAGACGACCAGGAAATTCACATCTATGATTGTCCAATTTAGACATCAGCATCTGCAAGGCCAACACTGTGGAGAGGGCGTACAGATTGCCGGGACATTCCTTACCTTTATGTGCATTTAAGTAAGAAACTGAGCCGGGGATGTAGCTCAGTGGTTCAGCTGCCTGCCTCACAAGCTCAAGGACCCGAGTTTGATCCCCGGTACAAAATAAATAAATAAGAAATTGAGCACATATTATAGCAGAAACTCATTTTGTAGATATAGTATAAAATTTTTCCTGATTTAATGGAAATGCTATTCACACTTAAAGTGCTCGATGCAACGCCCCTGTTGGTGGACACACTTCTTTCTTGGTTTACCTGCTGCTGGAGAACAGTGAGAGGAGCTGGCATTATTTAGTCGGGGAGAGGAGCAGGTACGTGCTTGCCGACCTTTGCGGCCCCTCTCCCAGGACTGACTCCTGTTACACAGTGAGCACCCATTTCATCCTGAAGAATGGAGTCCTGAAGGAAACGGTGTCTGACTGGGTGGGCTCAGCCTCTGGTCCTGTCCACCTGGGGATCCTTCTGTTCAATACATTATCTCCCCACTAAAAAAAAATTATTTCCCACACTCTCGCCTTTCCCTCATCACATCAGAGACTTCTTTAACTACTGGCAGGTGTGGAAAGGCAGCTGCTCTTCCTGTCTTCATGGTGCCAGGGCTCCATACTGCAGTACAGGGCTGTGTCCCAGAGTAGAGACTTCTGTGCTCAGAGAATGGCTGACACTCGTATTTTCCCTCCGTCCCCCATCCTCAGAGCAAGCCCTCTGCTTGCTCTCCAGCCTTGGCCTCACTCAGCCTCTAGGAACCATGATGTCATGGCTGCTCTTCCCTCACTATCCAGCCCTTGGAGAGACCTCTTCCTCTTACCCTCATGTACAAGCAAGCCCCATTCCTTCTACCCATGCATGGTAACACTACACTTGAATGCTCAGAAGAAGAAAAAGCAAAGCTACTTGTCTCTCATAGCAGCTTCATTTTAATTTTAAAGTGACAGATGTAGAGGAGGTGGGAAAAAATTTGAAGCAACGCCCTCCAGAGGCCATGTATGTGACAGGAAGGAGCCAAGTGTAATTTTGCTCCATCATCAATAAACAATAGTTCTCCAGCAATCATTTATCAGGAAGCCGCAACACAGGAGCAGCACCCTGAAGTGGTGGTCCATTTATAAGTTGATTTTCACATAAGCTTGATTGGAAGAATTGGCTTTAAGTCTCCTGACCAGCAGTTGAGGCAGGCACAGGTGGGTTCTCTGTACTGGAGCAGCTGTGTCCCACCAGCCAGCAGTGTTCCTAAAGCCTGGTTGCCTGTGGCCTGCTCTGTGGCCCTCCTGGGAGTGCCTGTCTTGGTTTCATTTGACCAGACAAGGGCGCAACTGACAGCTCAAAGGTAGTAGTTTCTCTTCATGACTGGAAAGAAAGGAGCAGTAACAACCTGAAGTTGAGGTGATGCTGATTTGAGGCGTGGTCTGCCTGCCAGGAAAGAAGCAATGGCTAACATGCCCTGCACCAGAGGAGTTCACAGACAAGGCCCCAGGAGAGCCTGCTTGTGTGCCTGTTCTACCAGTGTCACCTGAGTAGGACACCCTTTGGGATATGGCTGTGCAGTAAGGAACAGCCCTTCAAAAAGGAGCCCAGTTTGGAGAATATGGAAAGAACACTGGGAAGTTCTGTGCCTTCCCAGTCCTTCAAGTACCCAGGGTCACCAGGCAGGAAAAGCCACCATCTGTGGGCCAGACAAGCATCCACCCTACCCTTAGCTTCTGCTGCTGCCTGAGGCTGATAGGGATATGAGAGGGTTTCATTTTCAAGTAAGCACTTGGGTGGGACAGGGTTGCAGAGGTTCCAACAGAGGAGAGTGAAAACCACGGACTGGGTCACAGGTAAATGGAGGGTCTGTCCTCCCACAGGGTTTGGGAATTTCAGAGAATCTCCAGGAGAGGTGAGCAGACCCTTGTGCCCCACACCAACCTTCTGGGGGCACCGAACAAAGGGACTAGGCTGACTCTACACCCAGGGCACATAGCCTGCAGGGCGTGGACCAGGCCCTTGAAGCTCCGTGTGTATGCCTGTGTTCGTGCAGACGCTTATCTGAACCTGGACTCAAGACATGTCCTATCAGCAGCCCCATGTGCAGGTCTTCAGGGACTGCCAGAGCACAGGGTGAGAAGCCACCTGCAGACACAGATACCCACTGTGCCTCCTGGCCTTCGAGGGGGTGGGTGCAGCTCTGGGCTGAGTACTACCAGGAACTGAGTAACAGCAAAGCCACCAGAAGCACAAAGTATCAGTGTGGTCACCAGCATCCCTGGGACTGTCCTGAAGATGTGGACAAACAGATTCCATGGGCAGACTGAGGTGATTTACACGTAAAACATTTAAATGTGAACCAAGCTTAACTTAAATCAGAACTAAAAGAAAAGCAAAAGAAACCCAAGACACTCAGTCATGGAGAATGCTGAACACACACAGGACACCCCAGACACAGCTGTTACAGTATGCCATTTCATTGTGCCAACGTTACACTGCCCCTGCATCACGCTGCCTGGCACTGCACGCCGGCACGGGGCCCATCCTCGTCCTCCTCATAGGCTTCCCGCTGTGGGCGCCAGCCCTGCTCGCTGGCACTGAACTCCTGCAGCTCCGCCTGCTCCATGTCCTCTGTGACCCGCACCTTCTGCCGTGGCGGTAATAGGGCTTCCAGCTGTGGCAGCTTCTCCAGGGACAGCCAGTGTTCCTCAGGGAAGGTCACCTATAAGGGGAGACAGCTATGTGGCTCGTGCCCTCCAGCCGGGCAGCAGTGCGGCATCCGTGGGATCAAACACAGCACACTTACTAGGAACTGTATGACCAGCATCCCTTTCTCCAGGGGGGCCTTGTAGATAGGCATCCCCTCATTGCGCACACATCGAAGGTCCCCGTGCTTTATCACCTCACCTGTCACAGAAAAGGTCAGGTATGACACAGGAAGCCACGGCCTGCAGAGATCAGCCTCTCAGGGACAGTAGGGCAGGCTAGGTGACGGCAGGGGCTCAGGCTCTGGTGTCCCACAGCAGACACTGCTCTAGTGAGTTCTGCCAGGCTGCCTGGCCTCACTGCATCCAACTGACCCAAGAGGGGATTTTCCAACCCATTCACAGGTAGATGTTGTGCTCCTGCTCCTAGCAGGGCTCTCTGATCTGCAGAGGTTGTTAGGATGTCAGTGAATCTGGGACAGAACGTGAAGCCTGGGACCCATCTTCCTCTGCAGTGAGCAGAGAGAATATGCACTCAGTGTGTGTTGAGAATTTCCCTCCACACTGCAGTGCTTGCCTTGATCCAGTGTGGGTGCATGCGCGGGCACACACACACACACACACACACACACACACACACACACACACACGGGGGGGGCAAATGGAAAACCACATGGTGTAAAATGCTAACAGCAGACAAAACCATCTATGGGGCTTCCTACTGTTTTTATTTTCACAAGTTTTTATAAGTTTGAAATTGTTTTCAAGTAAAAAGATTAAAAAACAAACGTAGGCCAAGGCTTAGAAATATAATTCCAGTTCGTATGATCCCAGAGGAGGAGGAACCAGAAAGAATCAGAGAGGAAACGGAGAGAAACAGAACAGGCCAGAATGGGCGAGTAGGCAGAGAGCAGAGAAACAGGTCCAGAGCAGGGGAGCTTTGTGATGGTGGCCGAGCTGGTATGGGTTCCCTGGACTCCAGGTCTTATCACAACCACCATGGCCACCATGCCTGGCACAAGTTTTATCAACTGGTCACCTCCCAGCCACCCTACCCTGCCTTGCTTTTTTCAAGGTGAAGTTGCTTCTGACCCGCATCCAGGAAGGCACCGGAGCAGTGCTGCTGGTGACTATAGCCAGGCTTGGGGATCAGGCTTCCAGTCAGCTTTGTGGTGCTGGGGAGTGGCTTGAGCAAGGTTGGGACTTGGGCTTGCCCTGCTTCCACCCCATGCTGGTAGGTGCTCCCAGGCGCACACAGACCCAGGACCCAGGCTATGGTGACCACCAACCCTGCGCAGCGTAGGCCCCAGCACATCCTCCCTCAGCTGTTCCCTGGAACCCACTAGTGGGGACATCACCGAAGACAAGTGGGCAGGCAATGTCTATCTCAGAAAACTGGATTTTAAACCCTCTTTCCCATGCAGTTGATAACTCAGAAGCCAGAGGAAACTGGATGAATAGACAGCCCACATGATAGAAAAACACCACTGGTTAGCAGCTGTGTTCACTTCAACAAAACTAAAATTGAAGTGCTGCCGGGTGTGGTGGTGCACGCCTGTAATCCCAGCACTCAGGAGGCTGAAGCAGGAGGATCGCTGTGAGTTCGAGACCAGCCTGGGCTACATAGTGAGTTCCAGGTCAGTCTCAACTACATAGTGAGACCCTGTCTCAAAACAAAACAGAACAACAAAAGTTGAAGTGCTGGGTGTAGCAGTGCACACCTGTCATCTCAGCATTCAGGGGGCTGAGGCAGAAGAAGGATCACTGAATTCAAGGCCAGCCTAGATTGCATAGCGAGACCCCATCTCAAAAAACTAGAAAAAATAAATAAAAATAAAATTGAAGTTTAACTGGCAGGTTGCAGCTAGAATTTTAGACCCCAAGATTGCTATTGGAGGCTTCTACCCCTAGCTCTTTGGGTTTTTGTTGTTTTTTTTTCCCCTAGGAAAATAGAAAGGAAATGAAATCTTTCAATCATTACTGATGACTTTAAATTTAAAGAAAATCAAGACCCAGTAACAGAAGTCACCACACCACACACAGAGCAAGCACAGCATGGCACACTAGGGATGTTACCTGATTTGGATGTGATAACAAGGATTCGATCATCCAGTGTTTTTATCGTCTTCTTGAAGCCACAAAGAGCTTCAGAAAGCTGAATTTTCATTTTCATGATCAAGTCGTGGCCTCGTCTCTGAAAGACACTATGATCCTTCTGATCAAGCACAATTATGACATCGCCAGGCTCCAGCTCGGGCTCCTGGTCTCCTTCGCCATGAAATAGTATCTTTTGCCCATCTTTCATACCTATGGAACATCAGCCCTTTCTGATTAGCCATTTCTCATAAAAACCGTACTTTCTCAGAACTTTTGAAGAAGGGACACAGAGTCCTTTGGGGCCTATCCACTCATCAACACCCCCATCCTCACATGGGCTTGGGGTGGGGCAGGGCCACTGGGACAGTGGCTTCTCAGGAGTCAGGCCCTGGACTATGCATGCAGCTGAGGAAGGAACAGGGAGGTTCCACATCTGGTGTACACCACACTCCCCAGCCCCAGACCTGCGAGCCCACAGAAATATGAGGTGACCACACACCTCCCACATGGCATATGGCTCTGGGGACTGAGAGGGACAGGACAGCCAGTGAGTCTCTAGCATGCAGTATGAACATAGGCACAGGGTAAGGATTTGTTGAAGTGAGGAGTCCATTCACTGTACACGAGTTGGTAGGGGTGTTGATTCTTGGACTTTTGGTCTAAGACACAAGCTTCTATGGCCAACAGAAAATAAAGATCCCAAGGAAGGGGTCTGAACATGACTGGGGAGGGCAGTGAACCAAAGCTGAGGTCAGGTAAGACTTGAGGGCATCAGAAAACCTTAAAAGAGGTTAGCTGTGATCGCAAGGAAGCAGACACAGCAGGGAAACCTTGGCGGGTGCCATGGGATGGACATGTGGCCAGGAGGGTCAAGAGAAGAGCTGGAAACGGAAAGGGTCCTGGAACACCCTAGCAGGTGTGTAGTTAGTTCCAGGTTGTGTGGCAGCTCAAGACCCTGATGCCAAGCCTGAGTAGGGAGCGCCTGTTCTGCACAGCCTCACCTTTCTCCACATGTACCTCGATGATCTTCTTCTCCCGGATCACCTTGGCACCGCTGCAGTTTTCACACCGGTCCTTGGGGTTGATGCGCTCTCCCTGGCCCTTGCACTCCACACACACAGTCTGGATCTGCTGCACCATGCCCGGCCCAATCTGCTGGATGTGGACCTGCATCCCCCGCCCCTTGCACAGCGGGCATTTCTCCACAGAGTCTTTCTTCCCCCCGACACCTGCAGGGTGGGGGTGGGGGCGGGACACAAATGTGAGGGCTCTGCTGTTCCCTTCCCGAGTCCTCTGGGCACAGCAGCAGAAGGGTAGGAAATCTGTTCCAGTGGACACGGGGCTGGAAGTTTTTACAGTCATGAAAAGCAATGTGGGAGAGTTTAAGGGGGCCTAGCCACTCAGACACCAGATGTTAACATATGTGACCTCATGCGATTATGTTTTGGGCTATATCGATCCAAATTTATTATTTTAGCCTCATCAGTTGTGTTTTCTCCCACCCCAGGGTGGTTTCACAAGTAAAAGAGGAGGTTGCAGACATTTGAAGAGATAGGAGCTCTGTCCATGGGAGCGGCCAACAGCTCGGCCATCCTCTGTGGGACATTGGGGCCTGGGCCGACATCAGTCACCTTTACATCAAAGTGGAGGGTCATCAGATGATGGCAAGACTATCGGTCTAGTAAATAAAACTTTGCTGTACCCAGGTGCATCCAGTCATTCATCCACTGGGAGCTGCAGAGTTGAGGGACTACAAATAGACTATTTTACTCTTAATAGAAAACCTTGCCAACCCCAAGGTTAGGTGAATTGTCGTGATTTGGACATTTTAAAAATAACTGTCAACAGGGCTGGGGATTTAACTCAGTGGTACCATGCCTGCCTTGAAAGCAGCAAGCGCAAGGTCCTGAGATTGATCCCCAGTACTAGAAAAAAAAACCAAATCTGTCAACATATTAAATAAATGTGCAGCCCAAATAAAACATCCATTCAGCCAAACAGCTGTGGCCTTGGGCTGCCTACTAGCAGACACTGCTCAACCCTTGAGTTGGGTTTTTCTCTGACCTATGAAATGCGCACAGCTTTAACCAGACATGGTGGCACACGCCTATAATCCCAGCACTCGGGAGGCTGAGGCAGGAGGATTGCTGTGAGTTCAAAACCAGCCTAGGCTACATAGTTCCAGGTCAGTCTCAACTACATAGTGAGACCCTGTCTCAAAAAAACCAAAAAAAAAAAAGCACAGTTTTGCTGAGTGGCAGTATCGTAGGCAATGAGGTTTATCCTAGTCATGATTATTGCTAATTGAAACAAGCAGACTTGCTTCTAGATCTAAGGGATCAGAACTGTAAGATTCATTTAAAAATTAAATTTTTACCTTCACATTTCTCACAAATAATATTTTTCTGGAGGGCCAGTTTCTTGGTGACACCACTGTACAAGTCTTCTAGAGTTACAGACAACTGATGCACAACATTCTTGCCTTACAAGGGGGAAAAACCAGTTAGTAATAGTGCAAGAAACAGACCTCAGAGTGTTGAATTCCACCCATGTGGCCCTGTGCTGTAAGTATCCCAGATTCCTCCTCCCCCTCCTGCAGGAAGTGACATTCCCATTACACCCGTTCTACCTTCTGTTCTCAGTCAGCACCAAGAGTTAACATTCCATCTAATGTGAACTAATTCTCAATCATTTATGGGCTTCAGCAAAGACTTTCCACCTTTATTTTCTGAGAAAAAAAAAAAATCTGAGGAAAGGGAGTTTCCTGAGACAGAAGGCTCGGTGTTAAGGATGACACTGGTTAACCAAGTCCTCCTGAGGAAAGCAGCCCTTCCTCACGAATGAATGTGTGACAGCCAGAATCACTGGGCTGGTCAGTGAAACTCCTCCTTGGGAACTGAGCTCTTTACTTGTTTCTGTAATATGTATCCAAGTGTGAACTCTTTTCTCTGCCCAGATCGTGTATCTGCACCCAGGATGGTGGGCACCTATTCCCTGCTACCTAGAGTCCTTGCCATCTCTGGGACAAGATGGCCTGGCTGCCTAGCTATCAACTTCAAGAGATGATTTTAGGGAAAGGTATGAGATTTTTCATCTTATTGCAGCGAGTGGCTGGGCACAAAATCATTTACACAAGCAGGTGACATACCAGAGGACAGGCACGTACTGTTCCTTAATAAATACTTGGTGACTTTCAGCACAGGGTGTTCGCAGGATTGCCTCCACATTTTTAAAGCTCAAAGTCAATTACAATGTGAGAACAAATGCATTTATCCAGGGGACTCATTGACCAAAACCAAATTTCTAGAAAATGACAGAGCTTTTATCTCCCAATTTTATCAGGAATTGTGCTAAGTTTGGTTATCTAAATGTTTTAGGATCCAAAGCAGATTGTCAGCACTGCACAGGGCAGGGGTAAAAGGGTAAAGGTCCCACCAGGGACCACTTATTGATTACCGAGGTTGTATGTGAAGCCTGGTAGAGGAGAAATGCGGAAAAACAAGCCCCAGAACTCAAAACTAGGGTCCATTTGGCTAAGCTTTCCTCACTCACTGCTGATTATAAAACCTGAAAAGACTGGGAGGTAGTTATTTTTTCAAAGCTATCAAATAGGAAGAGGTGAATTTTGTTATCCAAAAAACTCTCAGCCAGCCGGAGCCTCATTTGAGGCCACGCTGAACACAGCAGGTCCGGTCCTATCTAGAATGGGACAGCCCACAGGCCCTGGTTCAGGTGGGGACCCAGGCCGGGGGGCGCAGATGGAGAAGTAGGTGCCATTTCTGTCCCTCAGGAAACCCTGGTGCCTCAAGCCCCCAAGAGAGAATGAGAGCAAAATGAACTTGACCTTCCTCCTTTCTACTCATGATCCCATTTGCCCCTTTACCTGGGGCTTGAAGGGTGTAAAAGTCTCTAGGTATACTATCGACTCCTCACTGAAACTCCTTACACCAAGCTCTTTACTCATTTCTATATTTGTGCCCGAGTGTGAACTCTTTCCTCTGCCCAGCTCTTGTATCTGCACCCAGGACAGTGGGCACCTGTTCTTCAGGGCTAGAAGACTCCTGAGGTCCAGTCCCAGGGACTTGACAAGTGGGGAGCTAGTTAGTGATTCCCAAACATGACAATTGTACGCTTTTAAGACATCCATCCTGATTCCATCAGCAGGTGCAGTTTTGCAAACAATAAAACTTGCTCACATCTCTTTAGAAACATTTACCTCTTCTCTCTCTCGCCATCCGTCCTCCACCACCAAAGAACATGTCAAAGATGTCCATGGGTGAGGAGAAGCTGGGGCTGCCAGAGCCTCCTTCTTTAATTGCCTGTTCCCCGCCCTGGTCATAAATCTCCCTTTTCTTTGGATCTGAAAGCACTTCATAGGCCTGGGATATGAGTTTAAACTTTAAAAAAAAAAGAAGGGAGAGAAAGATTTAAAAAGAGGGAGGAGGTTTGAGTTATTTTATTATTAAAGCAAACACATCATCAAAAATATAAACCAATCACAGAGGGGCCTGCACGCAGCCTTTCCAGCTTCCGGAAGCCGACTTCCACTTGCTGCCTCTCTAAATGGGACACACAGGGCCAATGCTATGAAGGGACTGATGACATAGACACTGCTAGGACTGTAGGGAAAGCAGGGTGTGAGGAAGTTTCTCTCCACTCTGGCTCCATCATGCAGGGAAGCAGCATCCAGTGAGGAAGTGGAAAGCCCCAGCCAGGCTGCATCTGTCACCAGGCACAGCCTGGGACTCCAGGTGCTGCTATGGCTTTGAGCCCCTGGGTATCAGTTTACTCCTGAAAGAGCATGAAATCCACCTGCAGGCACCTGGGAGCACCCAGTACACACCACAGAGTACAGCTGCACTCATGCTCCCCACCCAACCCACATCTGGCCCTTCCAGCCCCCCTGCCATGACAGCAGCTATTGGCAACACAGACCACACCCTGCAACAGATCCCACTGGCGCTACCTTCCCGCTGCTTCAGTCCCGGAGACTGACACAGTACCCCAGTGTGACACTGCTGCCAAAACTCAGCCACTGGAACCCAACTGTAAGAATCAGAAAACCAAGGCAGGGCCGTTGTGTGAAACTAAGGAAACCAAACATGGTGAGTGGTCCTGGGTTGGATCCTGCACAGGAGAGAATGGCTACCAAAGACATTATTGTTTTTTGTTTTTTGTTTTTTGTTTTTTGTTTGGTACCGGACCTTGTGCTTTCGAGGCAGGCGGCGACACCACTGAGCTAAATCCCCGGCCCACCAAAGACATTATTGGAACAAGCAGAGAAATGCAATCTTTTAAAAATGTTACATTGTTGTGTTTGATAACTGCACTGTGGTTACCTACAAAGGTGTCCTTGTGTCTAGGGAAAACATGCTGAATTAATTAGCACTGAGTGGCTGTGATATAAGCAAATAGTATTAATATCAGACATAGCTACAGCAATGTGCTTTCTCTGCATAAATACCTTTATTTACAGAACAGACTGCTAACAGTCATTACTTATCACTGCTGGAGCCAGGTGAAGGGGGGGGTACAAGGGTTCCCTGGACCATTCTCATCTCTTCTCTAAGCATGAGGCCATCTCTAAAACAAGATCCAAATACTAAAAGTATAAATCCCGCCCTCTTCACCTTAGCCAACCGTGCCCTTGGCAGCCTGGACCACTGCAACGGCTTTCCTACCCCTCTTCCAGCCTCTCTTTACCTGAACCAACGCTCTGCCCAAACCTCCCTGCAGCCCAGCCCCAGTCCCTGAGAGTAAAAGCTGGTCCCAGCTCACTCACCAGCCTGAACCAGCCCTGTGCCTTCCTCCTCGCTTGTGCCCAGTTCTGTGCCAGCTCTGCCAGCCTCCTTGCTCTCCTACAAGACCACCCCTCTCTTCAACAGAAACATTGAGGCATATGGGTTAGGCACCAGGTTGCACAATCAGAAAGCAATGAGGCCATGCTGCCCTGAACAAGTCTGGGCCTGTCTGCAAGTCAGGGGTCACGTGGCATGCTCCACAGGGTTGCCTACCAAATACTGGGTACTCACGGACTCCTGGGCTTAGTAGATGAACCTAAGAGTCACTGAACCATTCAATCAGAAGCTGGATCTCACTGTCACCCATCTTCTAGGACCAAGGACTCCAGCTTCTAACTCAGCTCCTGCCTAGACCCATTCTCTCCTCTGGAGATGAGGACTCTGACTGTTCAGACTGTGATCTTCTGCACAGAACCTCAATGGACCAACTATGCAGCTGGGGAAAATGGCTTAGAAGACAACACAGCAACTTGAAAAAGTATTTATTATAAAGTACTGAGGAGAAAAAGCTGATATTCTAGGTGGCCACATACAGTCACCCTAGGGAGAAGTTGCACTAGGATGGATGCACAGGGTGGGCAGTGTGATAAGTTCTTAGTAGGTTTTCCTCTGTATTCTGAAACATCTCATACTGTTAAGATTTTTACCTTGAAGATCTACTATTCAAACTAACAGTGACAATGAAATTGACCAAAAGATGAAACTCATCTGAACAGGGCAGCAGCCAGGAAGATACTCCTACCACTGCCCCCGAAAGGGACCATTTTGCCGACCTGCCACCTGCCACCCTGGGTCTTGCAGAAAACCAGCTGCAGAGGAGACAGATACAACTCCACACAAAGCAGCCCGTGTGACAACGAATGCAGGCCGCCTGACACTTAGCAACACAGGACAACAGGGCAAAACAAAGACCAACACCCACAGCCTTCTCAGTTGTCCCAGCGCAAGGTGGAAAAGGATCAGCTTAATCTATTTTTGAAGAGACATTAATAATGCAGTGACAAATTCAGGTGGAAAAAATAAAATGGTTCCACCAGTGATAATATAGTCACAAAGTTAGGTGAAGAAAACAATTAGAAGTTCTGCCTGCAACTTCATAAATACCCTCATGATAAAGAAAAGTTGTGCACAGTGTGCCCAGCCTAGACAAGGGGTGCTTGGCGAATGACAAATGAACAGGCCCTCCCTGGGGAGCTGGGCAGCAGGTGTCTGTATATGGTGCCCCCCATTTCCTTATCCCCTTTAATTCCAATTCAAATGTCCACTCATCCCCTGGCCCCCTCTTCTCTGCAATCTCCTTTTAATCCGCATCCTTATGCAGCCCCCGCTCACACATACACACAAAATGTGTTAAGGCGCATCTGTCCTGATGACCTGGTTATTCACCACCCAACCACCAATCATTAGTACCCCATGGCAGCGCTAGACACACGCTGCCCATAGTGGCCACAGGTAGAGAACAAGTAGCCACCACAAAAGCCAACGAGGACTGAGCCAGAGGCAGCCCCCAGGAAGGTGTCTTGGCTGGCACTGAGTGAAAGGTCTTGTCCTTTTTGTGGAAGGGAGGGAAGAAAAGCATTCCTTGTGATAGGCACATCGTAGACACCCCAAACTTGAGAGGGGCAGCTTGACATGAATTCAAGGCTTGGCTAGAAACAAATATTAGCTTCAAACCTAGCAAACAACCTGCCCAGACAGGCGTCTACAGGGTGAAAGCTACACACGTGTAAAGGGCAAATCTACTTTTTTTTTTTTTAAGCTTCAGGCCCCACGAGCACACTCACCTCACTCAGTATGCACAGAGCTGTGAACTCACTTGGGGTAATGGCTATCAGGCTTGACCTAAAACCAGGTCAGAGGCTTTCCCACAAATAGCCGTTGCCAGCCGGCTGGAACATGAACTGAGGAGCCAGGAGCTCTCAGAGGAGATGTCAGCGACAGACTCAGGGAAAACAGGGAGCAAGTCTGTGAATCACTCAACAAGCCTGGGACATTCAGAGCTACAGTAAGCCACCTAAATATAGAGGGAAAGTATGCCAGCGGAGAGGGACAAACGGTATGCACACAAGCATTTTAAACTTATGACAGTCACATTCTGCACATGAGGCTAAATATAAATATTCTATCACTGTTCCACCAGCGACCTTCCCTGAGCAGTTGGCCCCAGCTGGGAATGACTACCGCAGGCATCTTTTGATCCACACATTGTTGCCACAGGTCTAAGGCCAGCTGGTGATGGTGGCTTCAGAAGTGGCCCGGGATCACTGCTATTGTCCCCGCCCCTCCAGAATGCCCAGTTTTATAAGAAAATGGCCAGAAGTCAAGGGAGCGCTAGAAGTCCAACAAGCTGTCTTTCAATGCCTGATCCAAGTTACCTATTCAGGAGAATGTGGGGAGGGGGTAGTCCTCTAGGGACAGAGGCAAAATGTCGCTGTAAATGAGAGAAAAAGTTTAGGTCTCTTAAGTCCAGGCACGCTCAGCCTATGACGGCTCAAGATTGACTGTGATCACCAGCAGTGGAAGACCTGGAACACACACGGTAAGTGGCTGTGTGGGTCTCAGATCTGCAGCCCCGATTCCTCAGTGTCTGCGAGCTGGGTGGACAGGAGGGGGCTCTAGGAGGGACCTGTGTGTGTACAACAAAGGCTCAAGGACCGGAAGTCACCCCAGAGTTAGCGCATTAACAGAGAACCCAGCGCAACACAACCCAGTTCCCCGTGGTGTCAGCCGGAGCCCTAATCCTGCTGCACTGCCTCAGTTTCCCATGAAGACCCCACGGAAGCCTCCGCGCCCATACCCGGTGATCAGGACCCCATGGTCACTGGTGGAGACTGGTGGGTACTAGGGTCATGGTCCCCGCCCCCGCCAGCAGGCGCGGCTCGATCCTACTCCGATCCCGCTCTATCCCAGTCCTGGGCCCTTGTCCCATCCCCCCCCCCCCACCCCAGCCTCCCCGGTCCCCGTCCCCATCCCAGTCCCCGCACCCTCACCCGATCGCTCTGCCTGGGGTTCTTCTCCGGGTGGAAGTGCACAGCACCCGGCCTGGCCCCCGGGTTCTCTATCCCCCTGGGGTCCTGCCCCACCCCCAGCCTCCCCTCGGTTCCGAATCCCCGCCGCGTCCCCGTCCCCGCACCCGGTCGCCCTCGCTTGGGTTCTTGTCAGGGTGGTATCGCAGCGCCAGCCTCCGGTAGGCCCTGCGGATCTCGTCGGGCGCCGCGCTCGGCTTCACGCCCAAGACGTCGTAGAACTGCGTCTCCTTCACCATTGCCGCGGTCCCGGCGTCCCGGCCGGCGTCACCGTTGTCACCGTCA